GGTCGCGGTACGAGCACGGCACAGCTGGCGGCGAAGCTGCCGCGACCGGCCGGCCGTCGGTCACCTGCCTGTTTATCCGGCCACCTCCTGGAGCCGGTCGGGCGGCGCCGTCGGCGGCGGCGGCCCGCAGCGCGTCGCCCATCGACGGACCGCCACTCGCGCGCCGTCATAACACGGCCAGGGGAGCGGCCCTCCGCCGCCGCCGCCGCCGCTGCCGCCGGTCCGCCCGCGCTGCATATGCATGAGGCGGGGGGAGGCGGACTCGTTAGCGCGCGGCGCGGAGTGCCGGCGGAGTGACGCCGCCACTCCGGAGGTGCCGCCGCCGTGACGCCGCCTATCGGGCCATCTGACGGCCGGCTCCGGCTCCGGCCGTGATGCAGGCGGCCGCCAGCGCGATTAATATCCATCGGCGAGCGGGCTGCGGTAATAGGGCCCGGCGCCGTGGCCGTTTGTCACAGCGGCCGCGCCGTGTCGCCGGCAGAGATGCTGCGATCATCGGCCCTAAACGCCGCCGATCCAGTACGCGATCAGCGGTGGCGACCAGCGAGGCGCGGTGCACAGTGCATGGACGTGGTCGGCGCGGTCGCCGACCAGGTGCGCGTGGCCGGCGGCGCAGCGGGCGCCCGTCCGGCCGCGCCGAGCGAGCGCGGCGCCCTCCCCCACTGGCTGCAATTTCAATTACGCTTTCTTGGTGGACGTCGCAGTTCTGGTATGGTTAATTCGCTGCTCGCACGCCTGGCCTGAGCGCCTTGCAGCGCCAGAAGACGGATGGCACCGGCGAAAGGAGAGCATGCAGTGTAATTGCACGACCCGCGTGTGGCGAACAGGCGAGCAAACTCAAGACCCGGCCGGCATTCAACTCGGAACAGGTGCTAACGCGGCGCTTAACGCCACCGCCGTCAGAAATATTCCTCCTTCCTGTACTTTTGACATTCATAAACACGACACAATTAGTAACGGTGCCGTAGTCAGGCAGTTTAATTATTTACCCCGAATTTGCATATTGGATCCACGAGTGCGGCGGCATGGGCAGCGGTCCATAGCCGCTGGTGTCGGCCGCAGTCCGGCGGCATTCAGTGCTGCGCCGGTATCACTGACGAGCGCCGTGTGCCAGTGATATGCCGAAGAGTCGCCGGCTGCGGGTGACCCGAGCCCGGTCACGTGGTGCGCCGCCCCCGGCGGGGGGTGCCGTGCGGCCGGTCACGTGGTGCGCCGCCTACGGACGCCGGGCGGACGCGGCAGGAGCGGCTCGCCGCCTCTGATGGTGAGTGGGTGTCCGGCGGTGTCAGCTCTCCGCCCCGCCGGCGTGACGTCACTAGGGCCGCTCTGTGGCCGGTAATTGCGCGGCGCGTATTAGTATTCCGCCCACGTGGCCGCGCTTATTTTTCCGGAGCGGCGCGCTGACGGCGGCCAGACACGGCCGGCGCGGGAGCCGCTCCCCGCCCGCGTCCTCCCACCTGCGCGCCACGCCCGGCGGTTATGACCCGAACGCCTCCCCACCTCTGCGTTCGGCTGGAGTCAGCCACAGATCCGCCCGGTGGCCCGCTACCCCTCTGCCTTGCGTTCCGGGCGCGGGTGTGCATCACAAATTCTCCAGCGCTTGCCGGTCTCAGCACGCGCCCACCCCCAGGCGCGAGCTGGGTTCTCTGTTCTCAGGATGCGTTGCCCGCCTTGGCCGCCCTCGCCCGCCGGCGGACATCCCGCTGGCTAGCGAGCTGCTTTCACGCCCCGCGAGCCGGCCCGCCCTAAATCACGCGCGTGGCCGGGTAAAAACGACACTTTCCCGGCGCAGAGCCGCCGCAGGACTGGAGCACGTGCAGGCGCCCGGGCCGCCGGCCGCGGCCCTCTCCAGAGTGCATTAGGCGCCGTTTCGGTCCTCCGCAGACGCCTGTTGTGACAGGCAGTTCACCTGACCTAGAGCCGTTGCCGGTCGCTGGGCGCGCTCGTAAATAAGCCGGCTATTAGTAGCGACACGGAGCGGCAATATCGGGCAGATTTACGGCTCTCAAGGTCTGATATGAAGCCGGGTTCACACTTGATAAAACGTTTACTTTCATGCCGGGAACTTCAAAACAGTGTTAAACGGCGCGGCGGCACGGGAGACGCTGGCCGGCCGCCGCCGCCGCCACTTCAAATGCAACTTCCGGTCGACCCAGAAAGGCATGCTGGCATTGTCTGGGCCGGCGCTGCGACGTTTCCGCGCTGCGGGGCTGCTCTGTCCGCCGAGGCCGAGCTGAAGCTGAGAGGCGCAATATTTCGATTATTAAACGTGGCTCCAGCCCGGTGCTGGAAGCAGTGTGAGTGCATGAGCACCGGCCTAGGACGAGGGATGTCTTTACGGTATGAAGTATGGCACAGGCTCTGGAGGAGTTTACCCCAGTGCAGCATGTTCTGAGCAACATCGAAGGCCTGGGCATTGCCAGTGTGAGCACCGCACGAATGTAACCGCTACTGATTCAGCTTTGGCTGCCGCGGGTCCGCAGCATTGCGTCTCGTAGCCCGACCCTAGCCCGTCCCCACTCCGTCCCCGCTCTCAGCCAGCCGGGTCCGGTCCGAGTCCGACTCCAGCCCGACCGCAGTCCAGCCCGATCCCGCTGTCATTCCCAGCCGGGTGCGGTCCGAGTCCGACTCCAGCCCAGCCCCAGCCCGCCCCGTTCCCAGCCAGCCGGGCCCGGTCCGAGTCCGACTCCAGCCCAGCCCCAGCAGGGCCTCAGGCTGGCCTCGCCGCCGGCCGGACGGTGGGCGGCCGCGGCCGGCGCCGTTGCAGGGCGCGGGGCGTCGCCGGTATATCACCGGGCACGGTTCGGCGGCGGCGTGGCGCGCCCACAAACAGAACGCCGCCGGCGCGCCCACAAAAAGCCGGCCGGTCGTCGTGTGAAATATTCCCTGGCAGCGGAAGAGGGATTTCTCGGAGAGGGATGTATGAATTATGTGACTGGCTAAGCCGTGTGAGCGATTTACGGCGCAACACGCTGGAATTTTCTAATTGGGAAATGTTTAAAACGTTGTGCCGGCGAATCCGTCAGCGGCGACGCGGCCGCCGGCTGCCAGCGGACCACCCGGCCGCCCCAGATGTGGTGCTTGGCAGCACCGTGGGTCGGAATAAGACAATGCGACTCCCCAGGTCTGGTGCGCCTCGCGCGGGGCACGGTATGCACTGCGACGCATTTAGCGGGCTGCATGAGCGCATGGTGAGCCGCGCGGTGTGCAGGACGGCCGCCGTCTGCACGCCGTGAGGCGATCAGCGTCCCCCTCCCTCCCCCCCCCCCCTTTCCCGCCCGCTCAGGCAGGCCTCCAAGTCAAGATGGACGACCGAGGCAAACAAACGGACCCTGTCGTCTCGGCGCTCCAAAGGAAGCACGGAAATTCTCGGCCGCTGCCAAAACATGTGCCGGTTGGTGGGGGAGACCAGATGTCACTACGCATGCGCAAATGACGCGGATCGGCCCTCTGCCTGTAAATCAAAGTGCCGCGCTCTGGTTGGTGGAAAGTGGCGTTTCTCTCATTCCACATCCGTCAATCCCTGCTCGGCCGCTCCCAAATCTGACTTTTACTAATTGCAGCCGACATGGCGATCATTAGGGTGTGTAGAAACGCCTGTTTACATCTGGCCGACTCAAACATTTTCTTTTGCCGGCCGGCGGAGGACGGAAGCGTCCCCAGTGGTTCCGTGACCGTGGTGACCGTACCATCGGCTCCGATCATGCATCAATTGCGGCGTGTAAACACAGTGATCGCGCGCCCGCCGACCGTCTGCCAGAGCAAACAGTGAACCAGCGTGTCGAGTGATGTAGTGCGCGCCCGCCGAGATTTAGTGACAATGTATCGTTATTCACTCCGTGATATGGAACACGCGGCCTGGCGATTTACGAGCGCGCCGCTCCGTTTTTCGCCTTCGCGCGACCGCCGCGGCCGGTGCGAGCCGAAATGAAACCGTTCGGAAATTTATCGTGTCGCGGTGCAGTGCGAGTTGGCGCGACCTGCACAAAATAATCGGACCGTGATGGATGCGGCCGGCGCCGACGGAAATATGCGCGGGCGACGGCGACGGCGGCGCGCCGGCGGCAGCCTCCTTCTGGGAAGACCAAGGCTGAGTCCTGCGTTGCTGGGCGACCTCCCGTGGCGCGCCGTCTGCGCCTTTGAGGCCGCCGTCGCTGTCCATTATGCCGCACCGGAGCCTCGCCGCATTGGGTCTCCTGAGCGCTGGTGGACCTTGCCCAGGACGGGAGCGTGAGGGTGGGCATACCCGACCCGTGAAATCCCAACATGGCCGACCTGACAGGCGGGGAATGTCCGCTTCGCCACACGCTCTCACCGTGAGATCGCCTGATAATGCGATAAGATCGGGCCGATTTTTTGCGCCTGTCGCGTCGACAGCGCGCCGGGCTCGTCTCGGGCCGCGCGGCGCGGCGGTCCCGGCGCGGACGATGCGCCGAACCCTTTGAATGTCAATTCGCGTGCTTTCAGCGTGACACAATCGTCGCTGCGGTGACAAATTCGAAGCGGCGCCGGCCGGGGCCGGTCCGATGGCGGCCTTTGACTGGGACCGGCTCTGTACAAACAGAGCCGTCCCCCGCAGCCGCCGACATAAATGATCGCGTCAAACGGGATAATAGCGCCGGGATTTGACGGATAATGGACGGCCAATCAAGCGCGGACGCGCCCGCTCCGCCGGGACCCGGCACAGAAAGGCACATGGCTGGCATTGGCCTTTGGAAAGAGATTATCGAAGTGGTTTCGGAGCCTATGAATTTGGGGCGTCAGTGTGGATCTGGCGCGCGGCGCCGGGACGGCCGGCCGCTCTCGCCGCTCCCCGAGGTCCGTGCGCTGACGAACGGCGCCATTTGCCCCATTGGCTAGGGTTTGCTCTGATAAACGGATGCGCATTATTTTCAGGAGAGCGCGGCGTCCGTTTCACCGCGCTGAATTCCTGGTAATAATGAATTGAGTCGTCCGGCCCGGCCCGCCCCGCGCTCACACGCTCCTCTCTCTCATTTCAGGTGGGAAATCAGCAAGCTGGAGCGCCTCATTGAGTGATCCGCAGCGACTTTGTGTTTTGTAGTGCTACAGTCGTCTACGTCGTGCCAGGACACACCATGCCCAACACAACCTACACCAACAACAACTACCAGCTGCCGGCGGCGTCGCAGGACATGGCCGCGCCCGAGTACGCGGCGCACGCGCAAGCCCAGGTGGCGGCGCCGCACTGCGACCCGGGCGCGGTGCGCGGCTACTACCAGCCGATGGAGCCGCCGCCGCCGCACCAAGTGCCCGGCCACATGCACCCGGCCGCCGTCGACCCCAGCCAGCACCGGCCCGACATGTACCGCGGCTACGAGAGGCCCATGCACATGCGCGCCAACGGCAACCACCAGCAGTACTACCCGCAGCCGCAGATGGAGATGCCCGAGGCCGGCTACGACAACGGCATGGAGCAGTACCGCACGCACTCGCCCAGCCAGTACCCGGGCACGCGCTACATGCCGTGCAAGATGCAGGAGGGCATGAACGGCGCCGTGCCCAACGGCATACCGGACGCGCAGTACATGCAGACGCAGGCGGAGCCGGCCGGCGAGATGGCGGCCGGCGGCCAGCAGGTCATGTACGCCAACGGACAGCCGCCGCCGGCCGGGCCGCAGGGCCAGCAGAGCGGCGCAGGCTCGCCCAACGTTCTCTTCCCCTGGATGAGGACTCAGTTCGGTGAGTGGGTGGCGGTTGCGCGCCGTGCAGGCTGCGCGCTGGCTCTGCGGGGAGGGGGCGTCAGGCGGCTGCGCACTGCGCAGGGGACCGGACTTTGACTGCGCAGTGTATGCGGTAAACAAACCGCGCATTTTGCAAGGCTGATGAAAGTATCACGGTACTATGTAGCAGTTGGACACTATACCTGCGCTGTTTTGGCGGTGCACCAAGCGTGCACTATGTATGCATAGACGGCAGGCCATGTTTTGTGTAAGGGCGATACTCGCGCAAAGCTGGGGTGAAACGCTAATCGTGGTATGTGCACGGATGGCACAAACACACACTGCACAATAGTGAACACTGTGCAGGAGCCACTGGCCGAGCAGTGTGTTAAAGCCGTCGAATGCGCAGGAAAAGAGCACTAGCCATGCTCCTATCGCAGGAAAAACATCCGCCGTGCAACGTGCACGAGACGTTTACCGTTGGTGCACTGTGCACCGGGGAGCCCGTCTTCCACTGAGGTGGGAAGTGACACCTGCCTGTGCACTATTTAGGGCACGCTAGCCGCGTTCTGTGCAGTGACAGTCCCACTAGTGGTGTAATGTGCAAGGAGACGTGAGCCTGCACTGTGCGGGAGAGAAACAACAGTGGCGCGTTAGTGCACAAGTCGCTGGGGCCGGTGAACGCTGGGCCCTGGCCGAGACTGCGATATCAGGCTGCCAACTCACCACCGCGGGAACAAATACGGCCACATGCTGTAATCATTTAAATGAGCCTATAGGCCGAGCGGTAATTGTTTGGCAGCTTTATGACGCAATTATCTGTCAATGATCTGGTCGTGGGTGGCTGCGCGCGGCGTGCAGACAACTGTGTTAATACGAACATGGCCACTTAATATGTAGAGCAGATGCGCGCCCGCGCCGCCGCCATCCATCATCCACTTGATTAAATTGACTTTTACCAAAGCATTCGGCACAACACCTGTCCGATGCAACAACGATCTCAGCTTTCTGCAATATAGATGGGTTGCAGCACGTTGCACAGCGCGGTGGCATGCATGCGAGTCGTTTGCATTTTCCCGATCTGTTGAAAAATCTCCATAATATTGATATCCGTGCATGCAGCCCGTTTACACGAATGAGGATTCAAATGCCAGCAATATTATTCTGGGCGGCAGAGACAACATTTGATCCAGCCCTGTCCAAACATCGGCGGATCCGTCCGCAGATGCATTTGGACCAAGGAGTCATTGACTCACGGCAATAGAACACTTTAAACACCCTGGCTGCCATGGGCCTCGCTAAAGAAGGACTGGGAAAAATTCCTGCTTGGGAATAAACTGACAAATGCGGTCCCACATTATATTTTTCAGAACAAAGATAACCTGGAGGCCATTGTCTCCATGGGAATGCCTCGTAACACCACAGCTTTTAATTAACTTTGCAAATCCCATGCGCGGCTTTCATTAACGAGCAGTGCAAACACCCTGCCCTGCAGCGCGCTTCAAACCGTCTGAGGCGAGCAGGTGACGCGGCGCCGCTGGGACCGGCGCCGAGCCGCGTGCAACCCGGCACCGCGTCTCGCATTCGCACACGCGTGATCGTGCAGCGCGGTGGGCGGCCCGCGCCCGGCCGCCGCCGCCGGCCGTTTCCACGGAGGTCACGTAGCCTGGGGGCGTGCCGAACGACCTGTTGCGCGGCACGTCGCTAGGCGAGGGCCGCGGCGAGCGGCGGAATCGATGGCCCGATGGTATACGAGCGCGGCGGGGCTGACGGCCGCCGGCTCGACGCACGGCGCACGACGTGGACAAATCGCAACGCGGCCCGCCGCCGGTCGGCCGACATTGATTTTCCGTCGCAACACGCCCGGCCGAATATCATTGCAGAATGGGCAGGTGTGGGTCGCCGGAGTCGCTTTAAATATGCATGCGTCCGCTGCCTGGTTGTCGGAAGCAAACAGCCGTATTTTCAAGACTGCAATTACGCTGACTGAGCTCGTTTTGGAAGTTTGGCAGTGACGCACGACTTCCACGGGCCGTTTGTAAAGCGTGGCGCGAGGCGTTTTTCAAAAGGGGGCCGTGAAACATATCACTGGGTCCTCCCTCGGCGAAGTGGCTCGGTGGGAGCCCGTGACTAGACGGTACTCGTGCTGCGCTTGGTACCGTATTACCCGCAGTAAATTGTCCAGCTGTGGCACTCGGCCGTAATGACAAACGATTTGTAATTTTGTGCGCCGCTTGTAGGCTTAATGACAATGCTGCGCACAAAAGCGACAGAAAAAGACGCATTGTGATTGTGTCAGGTACGCATATAGGGACAGGGGCCCGACCTTAAGAGTCCTCTTTGACGAGCACAAACTGAAGACCCTCAAAGTATCTTTCTTGTTTTATCTTGGGGCTTCCTGAAAACGCTTTGCCATGCTACGGCGAGCGATGTAATGCACCTCTGCACCTCTGAGTGCATCTCTGCACCTCTGAGTGGGTCTACGCTGGGAGAAGGGCCTCAGAAAAGTTCCTTTCCTCAGACCCCAGCATACCTGAAAAAGCATGTGCACAGAATCAGGCAAGGATAAGAATGTGGCCGGAAGAGACAATGCTCAGTCCAGACAGCATTTTTCCCAAGTTATGGCGCCTATAACCATTTTTTGGTTATTTTCAGTCAACGCCCGCAGCTCGCAATCAACGTCCGCAGGACCACTGTTAAACTTTCAGAAAGTTGGGGCTCTTAGGAAGTTGGGACCTCATCGCCCCTAGTTCCCGCACCCATTTCTACCCAAGCATTATGGAAGCTTGAAGCTCGGACCAAGGCGATAAGTAACACTGTCCTTTAGTCAAGGCCAGTTCAGCATGGTTTCATGTAAGTTGATCGGTTTCAGGTGTTATCGACAAAGTTGTATCCCAAGAATCGGATGTGAAGTATCTTTGTCATGTGTGGTCCTGCGAGAAACTGGTGGACTCAGATTTAAATCCGGGCAAGGACTAAAGCTGGATCTCTAACGACTTGGAATCGGGTAGGGATCGCAGAACCACAAAATTGTTGACTCAGGCTCTTACCCCTGTAGTGTGACAATGATAACCTCGGGACAAGGGCTCAAACTAACGTACCTCGCCTCGACCCAGGCTCAAGCCCATGAAACCAGACTCGCTTCTGACTTGTTTTAAACTCCTTTCTGCAGTAGCCACATGTTCGGTCTTCGTCCTTGCTTCAGGAATCGCCAAGAAGGTGTGTCATACCCGTAGATGGCTTGGAGCGCTTCAGTTAACCTTCTGAGTGCAGTTAGCTGCTACGATGATGAGTTGAAAACGCAATAGACGGTCGGTGTTTTCTTGCCTGTGACGTAACCGTACACGGCTTGCTTCAAACTTGCTGTTACATCGGGTTTCGTCTTGCGTTCGAAAATGAAACACACCTCATTTTATTTTTCCGGGTTCATCTTTAGCTTGTCTCGTTTTAGGAATGCAATTTCTATTGCAACCGTCGTATTTTAACCGAACACCCACACACTCCCGCAAAATGTGTGGTTTTTCCTTTGTCCAGCGAACCCAGCTGTGGTAACATCCGTGCGTGATTCAGTTACTTAGTATTTGAATTGGATAACCGTATAAGCAGCCTATGCTCGCTGGATAATACATTTTCTCTGAAACTAAGTTACGGCTGTTTATCAGCACCCATCATCAACAAATCATCGGAACAAAGTAATGCAAAACAATGACGTATTTGGAGCTGTATGAAGGAAGATGAGATTTCAAGATTATATAATTTGATCAATGTTATGCTCACCGTCGCTTCAAAATTTGGTGATATATGGTGACATTTTATGGTTCCTTTGATAACAACAGCCACGCACAGCGCCGCTACGGTGCCAACCTTGTCCCCAGTATGGAAAACGTCGCTAGAGCAGCGCCAAACGTTGCCCAGTTAACATAAGAGCGATGCCGTTTGTCATCGCCGTCTCTCAGTGTGGTTCGATCTGGCAGGATTCTGGCCGAGCCCATCCATCATCTCAACGGTCGCGCACACAAACACTCTCACGCACACCGCCTGACGGCAGTTTCCACCACTGGCTGAATAATTCATGGCGCTTAGGCTGCGCATGTGCTCATTTGTCAGTGCTGCATTGAGAGCGTCGCAGCGTATTGACGCCGCCCGGAGCGGCGGCGGGCGCGCGGTGCCCCGCGCTGCTCGGGTCGGGGTTCCCGGCCGCCGCCGCCCGGCCGCCGCATCCCCCGGTCGTACCTGAGCCCGGCCCGAGATATACGGCTGGTGGCGCGGCAAAATGACATCTTTAGAGGGCAATAAAAGACATTATAGTACTCGCTTTTGGATTTATGGCCGGGCAGAAGTGGGTGAAGCTTGCGGTAGGTCAAGTTCAGTGCGTGGCTGGCGGCGGCGCGGCGGCGGCGGCGGCGGTGATGACGGGTCGTAGTGGCCGTCGTCAGGAGCTGATCGTGGCGGGATGCAGGGCTATTAAATTCAGCTGGCGACCTTGCCGGCCGGCCGGCGCGCTGGCGGTGTTATGAGACCCGGCTATGTGAATGACCGAGTAATGTGGCGATAAAATGTTTAACAGGCACTCAAAGTGACACAAATGGGCACTAAAGCGGCATAACGCTTAGTAACCCTTTGGGTACGGCTGCGAGAGTAAGCACACGGGAAGGTGGTGGTCGACACACAGGGAGGCGTACTACCGTCCAGATGCAGCCTCGTTTTATTAGGCCGCCGATAAACTAAGCCTGGTTAATGGCTAGCGCTGGGATGCTCGCTCTCTGACAGTGCTCGGCACGGTGAGAGCGGGCAGTGCTGTGCACGAGCCAGCGGGTCGGCAGCGGATAGGCTGACCGTATTGCAATTGGTTGGCCTCGGCAGTGCGGCAGACGGCCGCCGGCACGGGACGACCTCTCTCCGCTCGGCTGATTGTTTAATTCCGCGGCTGCAGTTTTTTCGGAGGGTCGTGACCGCTGATTGATACGGTTCGCTTTTTGACAAATGGCACCGGAGCGTTTTCCTTTGTAGCGGCTCGAC